CCACAGAAAATATTTAAGATGCTTTGTAGATCATATTCCGTCTTTGCGTATTGCAGAGTTATCTTCTCTTGGGAGCAGGTATTGATTGTTACGTCACTTGTTTGTGAGAGTAACGTCATCAATTTTTGAGAAAACAACGTAATTTTCTCACACAAACCAATGATGTAACAATCAACACCTGCTCCCAAGAGAAGATAACTCTGCAATATGCAAAGACGGAATACACAGCTATTAAAATCAAGCCCTATAACAATAAACAAGAGGTTTAGTGGGCCTGTACGCGGTGAATACTCCGTGTAAGGTTTGTTTCAGTCTCCAGTAAAAAGTTGACTAACCAACTTGTCACAAGCTGTAGCACAGAGTTTTGTGTGTTAGAAAAAACAAATGATATGTATATTTCTTATTACTCTACATTCTAACATGGCTAATTCTAGTTTGAAAAATAGTTTCAGCCCAAATAAACACTGCTCTGCTTTTTAGCAAAACAATCAAAGAAAATATAGAATGTTCTGCTTCTTTTAAAAGTGTGTTGGAAATTATCATCAAAAATATGAAGCAAAGATATATATATATATATATATATAATTTACATTTCCACTGCACAGAGCCTAGATGTTTCTACTGGGCCCAATGTATGTTATTTCCATATAACATACATTGGGCTATTGTGCATCGCTACGCTTATGACGTCATAACTGTAAAGTTGGAGATTGCATTGCTCCACTGTCAACTGGTGGCTGTCCTCTGTATGGATTTACCCTGACATTAAAACGTGTTAAGACTAATATTATGTCTTGATTTCTGCGTGAACTGTAAGTTGATCAACATAAAATGTAAATATAAATATTGGTTGTCATATTTTTGACATGCATTGGTGTGTAACATACATTGGCTTACCTAAATGTTCTTTTTGTCTCACAAAATATGATCAACGAAAAAAAAAAAAAAATTTAAATAATTTTTATAAAATCTATTTTTTTTCATAAAATATTTGTTTTCATTCTCTTGAAATTTGAAATAAATATACAAGATACTCATTGTTCTATGGTGAAAACCAGTTAAATCTCATCTACCCGTAACGCACTGAGAACAGATATTTTTACAGTGTGAAAACTTTAAAAGTATTCAACCCAATAGTTTCAACACAATGTTAATTGAAGTACATGTACACTCTTTAAAGGGAAATGATTAAAACATATATTCAGTCAGATTTTTTTTTTTTACGAAACTAACATCTCTTTCTCAGATAACTGATGTATTTTTTATATTGTATTAAACCCTGAGGCCAACACATATTCTCAGACTCAAAGTAGGAGGTGGGCTTATTACAGTACACCGAATTAACATTTGGTGTCATTTCTACTGAAACATGGGCTTATTGTTGGTTAAACAAAATAAACAATATTATTAACTCAATGAACTCTACCAACCTTTGAATTGGAAGAGTTCAAATGTGTCTTCAGGGATGAAGGAGTTAAAGAACTTGAACGAATTTCTGAGAACTTGATGCTGACACAATGCCAATTGGATAGCAGCATCACAAACATACATTCATGAAGTTTCAAGGTATAAAAAGAGATAGGATGAAATATATATAAAATGAGTCTATTACAGTACCTGTTAATACCTAGTTAGCAACCGTCAATTAAGACAACCGTAATAACATTGTATGTGTATTCTAGATCTTACCTAGTTAGATAAGACAACCGTAATAACATTGTATGTGTATTCTAGCGCTTACCTAGTTAGATAAGACAAACATAATAACATTGTATGTGTATTCTAGCGCTTACCTAGTTAGATAAGACAAACATAATAACATTGTATGTGGATTCTAGAGCTTACCTAGTTATATAAGACAACCGTAATAACATTGTATGTGTATTCTAGAGCTAGTCAGGCAGCGCTATCTTATATCGTTTCACAACAAAACAAAAACAAAACTTTATCTTTAACTAATCTAAACAATGCTAGATTGGTAATCTCAGATCAAAAGGACCTCAAAATTCATTAAAGCAAATCAGTTATTACCATAATTCATCCACACAAATTAAGATTTAATACTGTAAACAGCTTTGATTTGACCCTGTGTAAAATACCTTCACACATAAACATTGTTGGATTTGTCAGTTTGTGATTATGAGGTCTAGATCTCTTGTGTTACTTGACTAGAAAAAGTAGCTGTCATGCTTTTTGGGGATCTTTGGCCTTCATATGAAAATCATGGAAATAAAACTGTACTGAAAATATATTATTATGCAGTTTACACATTTAATCTGGCTTAGTTCAGACTAAATGAAATGCATTTTTCAATTTGACCATTAAACAAATATTTGTAGGATTCTCTAAATTTCTATAAAAATAACATCGATATCTGCAGAGCTTTCCAGAAAGGACTATGTATGGTTTGGGCCTATTTTGGCCCCCAAATGCATCAAAATTCAAAACCTTTAAATGAACTTTGAAATGACTGTTTCTTTTATTCTAAATTCTTCCCAAACACTGTCATGAAAATATTTATTTGTATTTCTAATTATTGTTGCCATGGTAACAAGTTCAAAATTGCATAAATTAGAAAGAAAACAATTATTCAGTGAATTTCGTCATATTTTGCATAGTTTTTCTCCAAGAAAATGTTTGAACAAACTCAAAATCAAAGGATAGTGTGTAGGCACCTGTAATATGTCTTTAGGAGAAATATAAAGTTTGTTCAAGAGTGTGCTCTATGGAAACTAAAAGAAAAACTTGGCAAAAACCTGGCAAATTTTACTGAATATTCAAATTTCAAATAATTTATGCAAATATTAACTGGTTACCATGGCAGCCATAATTGAAAACCTAAATAAATGTTTACATAATAGTACCAGGGAAGTATTCAAAATTAAAGAAACAGTCATTTCAAAGTTCTATTGAAGATTTTTAATTTTGATGGATTTTGGGGCCAAAAAAGGCCCAAACCATACATAGTCCTTTCCTAAGGGCTGTCGATATTTTTGTTCAACTATATTATGACTTAAAAATACTTCGGTTTTCAATAATATAAATACACTGTATAATTGCTCATTATTCACAGATTTATTACCATGAATTATTTATATATAACATGAGGCCCATGGGTCTTAACAGTCACCTGCATTCTGATATTTTATACAGAGAGTTGATTTTTGTTTTTAAAACATGAACAGAAATATTATTCAAAGTGACAAAAAACAATAAAACCATCTTATTCAATATTAAGCATACAGATTTAAGACTGAAAAGTATTTGAAACTAGCACCTCTGATTCTAAACAAGGAATTTTAGCACACAGACTCCTTTGGGCCCTGCCCTACAGCCCTTCGGGGAAGGGCTGGCTCAAAATGTTCAAAGTATCAAACTGTCAACTCAGGGTTATAATTCCAATCAAGTTTTCAACATGTAGTATCCAAAGTATCATTTGCCATTATAAACCATGATCAATTTTGCCCCCCCCCCCCTTTCCCCAGGGGTAAACGTGAGACCCTAGGGTCATAAAATTCACAATTTTGGTTGACCTTTGGCCATGGAAGGTTTCTGCAAAAGTTCATTGAAATTGGTTCAGGGGTTTTGGAGAAGAAGTCGAAAATGTAAATTGTTTACTGATGCACAGCAGGCGACACATGACGGACGGCGCTGGACAAAAGGTGATCGCAATAGGTCACTTGAGACTTTGTCTCAGGTGACCTAATAAACATGCATAATACCACAAAACACCTGACAACAAACATGCATTGAAGTATATAAATAGTGGATTTCATCAGAAATATCTTAATTATATGTTATTTATTTTGGCTGATGTGTACACAACCAACCAAGAAAGTTTTAAATGAAAACTATACTGACAACATCTTTAAGCATCAATTAAGTCAATAGAGTTTGTATTATGTCAATTAACATTGTATTATGTCAATTAACATTGTATTATGTCAATTAACATTGTATTATGTCAACAAACTTGAGTTATGTTAAAAACTTAATTATGCCAACAAACTTGAGTTATGTCAAAACTTCAGTTTTTTCATCAAACTTTATACATCATTTTCAGAGTCTTTACATGTTAATACTTTTTGTGTTATGTCAACAGACTTTGTGTTATGTCAACAGACTTAAGGATTATGTCACAATTTTGAGAGCATCGTTTGAAATGAGGAATCAAAGCTCTCTTCTGAATTATTCATTGTATTAATATATTGTCGACAATTTTTCCCCGATTTGCTAGCATTGCTTAAAATGAAAACAAACCAGCATTACACAGTAGCTTATTCTGTAGATAAAATGTTCCTTTGCTAGCCTTCCTCCTATAGTTCAACATCAACTGATTATAAAGAGTGACATAACACAAAACCTCAATTGTAAGTCAATTGACTCATTTACCCTTGAGGACACCTTTTAAACTCTTCCAGTTCAATGGTTGGAATAGTTCATCATGAAATTTCAGGGGTGAATCAATCGAAATCTATAAAACAATGGATTTTTGTTCAAATCTTGCTTTTTAATTGTTGACATGAACTGAGCTGAGTTATACTAGACTTACTTAACACTGACATGAACTGAGCTGAGTTGTACTAGACTTACTTAACACTGACATGCACTGAACTGAGTTGTACTAGACTTACTTAACACCGACATGCACGGAGCTGAGTTGTACTAGACTTACTTAACACCGACATGAACTGAGCTGAGTTGTACTAGACTTACTTAACACCGACATGAACTGAGCTGAGTTGTACAGGACTTACTTAACACCGACATGAGCTGAGCTGAGTTGTACTAGACTTACTTAACACCGACATGAACTGAGCTGAGTTGTACTAGACTTACTTAACACTGACATGTTTATATAGTGGTCATAGGAATCAAGACACCAGAACTTCATATCTTAGTTCACACATTATTTGAAAAAAATAAAGATAATTAATTTACATTTTTATATATATATATATATCAGTTTTTGCATAAAAAGACTATTTATAATATACATTCATTATTTACAATTTATTTTCATTTGTTGCGAGAAAGTTTCAAACAAACTGAAGTGACTGGTGAACACAAAAGAATACAATAAAACTTAAAATTATGTACAGTTTAAATAGGACATATTAGTTAACATGCAAAGACAACACAACAGAAAAGTCATGCAATATTGTTTACATTCATCATACATTCCAACATATTAATCCATACAATATAAGCACAGGGGCCTGACACTATTAGTGTATGGTTGTTATGCTATTTCTGTCACCTTTATATTTGTATAATTATTATGTGTCAAGCCCCTAAGATATTCAAAGGGGCCAGAACACTGCTGGAAACTCAATATGAATCCCCTCCCCTTTAGTAAGTGTACAGAAAAAAAAAGTTTATTAAAGCAAGTAAATTGGCAAGCTTTCTAATACCCTGAAGCCCCCCAGGACCCATCACTGATGATTTATAGGGGAGGGTAGATAATGTCAGTTCCCTGTGAGTAAAACCCATTTGTTTAATGGTTGTAAGAATATAGCATTTATTTATAGGGGAGGGTAGATAATGTCAGTTCCCTGTGAGTAAAACCCAGTTTAATGGTATTTCTTAGTAAATGGCATCAATTATTATTAACAATTATCCTGTATCTAACTAATATGTTATCAGTATTGTTAACTCATTCACCCTTGAAATTTCATAATGACCATTCCAACCTTTGAATTGGAAGGGTTCAAATGTGTCTTCAGGGGTGAATGAGTTAAACATCATGTGAACTTGGTGCCTTCAGATCTGGGAGTTACCTCCCCTGGCATCATTTCCCTCCCTTGATCATTTGCCTTCGATTGCAAAATACAGAACTGTGGCATTGTCTAACGCCATCCAATCTGAACTGTCGGGATTCTAGTCAATACAACAACCAAGGGTAGGTCATAATAGGAATACATGTACAAACATTTTGCTACAACAATAATTTAAACAATTTCTTTATAAAAAAGTATTTAACAAAAATTACTATTACATCATAAAAGCGTACTTTGTTCACGAGCTAACATGAAACAAACTTAAGACAACATCACAGATAATTTTTTGCTGTTTTAAGAATGCATAATAGTTTTAATAGCGTTTCATCCCCTAAAGTTTCAACACTTGTACTGTCAAGACAATTTACGTACTACCCTGTAAAACAGGAACATCACATCCTTTATTATGAATTAGCCCTGTAAACCTATTACTGTCTAGACAAGTTAAACACTACCCTGTGTTAAAATAGAAATGTAAAATCTTTTCTTAGTAACTTAAAACTATTAATAAAGGTCAGGCAATATTACTGTGACTGGCCACATCATTCTGTGAAAAGAGTACTATATAAATTGTGAAAGGAAAGTAAGTAGCACCAACACTGCTGGAGCACTAGATATAGAGACAGCTCACAACTGCAAGCAAGTTGCACTTTTCTACAAGTGCACTGTGAAACAGACAGCTTATAAGCATCATCACATAGCTTACTGTGAAATAGGCAGCTCACTAAACCAAGTAATCTTATATACCATTTATATACTGTGAAACAGATAACAGCAAATAATGCCATGGCAATAGGTCACCTTGACCTCACTTTGTAACCTTGACCTCACAATTTGACCTTAACATCACTGCCTTGAACTTGGGGCACTAGTGCAGGTTATCAAAAGATAACCTGAACACACCTGCAGGTGACGAAATGACAGCTGTACTTTTTTTTATCACAGGTATTCCGTGTATGCTTGCAGAATATTTTTTTCCAGCTGGTTGTATTTAGTTAACTTGTCAAACGGCTTGGGATCTAGATCGATTATGCTAACGGAGTAGTGGAACTTTCTACCGTGACCATCGGTTAGACAAGGGGGAACATCAGCAGTCTTGCTCCTACAAATCATAAAGTTCACATTTATGAAAATGCTTAAATGTTTACAGAATATATTCAAGATTAATGAACAATAAATTGAAGTCAGAATATGAAAATGGCAAAAGATTATATCATTTACATTTCAACCACATAAAGAAAAGCTCAGTTCGTATATAGTGGAACAATAGCTCAGTAACCAGACATTGAACAATTGTTCACTAACAGACATGGAACAGTTGTTCACTCACAGACATGGAACAGTTGTTAACTAACAGACATGGAACAGTTTTTCACTAACAGACATGGAACAGTTGTTCACTAACAGACATGGAACAGTTGTTAACTCACAGACATAGAACAGTTTTTCACTAACAGGCATGGAACAGTTGTTAAATCACAGATATGGAACAGTTGTTAACTAACAGACACAGAACAGTTGTTAACTCACAGACATGGAACAGTTGTTCACTCACAGACATGGATCAGTTGTTAACTCTCAGACATGGAACAGTTGTTCACTAACAGACACAGAACAGTTGTTCACTAACAAACATGGAACAGTTGATAACTAACAGACACAGAACAGTTGTTCACTAAAAGACATTGAACAGGTGTTAACTAACAGACATGGAACAGTTGGTGACTAAAAGACACAGAACAGTTGTTAACTAACAGACACAGAGCAGTTGTTAACTAACAGACATGGAACAATTGTTCACTAACAGACACGGAACAGTTGTTCACTAACAGACATGGAACAGTCGTTAACTAACAGACACAGAACAGTTGTTAACAAACAGACACAGAACAGTTGTTAACTAATAGACACAGAACAGTTGTTAACTAACAGACATGTAACAGTTGTTAACTAACAGCCACAGAACAGTTATTCACTAACAGACATGGAAAAGTTGTTAACTAACAGACACGGAACAGTTGTTCAGTAACAGACGTGGAACAGTTGTTAACTAACAGACACAGAACTGTTGTTCACTCACAGACACAGAACAGTTGTTCACTAACAGACCTGGAACAGTTGTTAACTAACAAACATGGAACAGTTATTCACTAACAGACATGGAACAGTTGTTAACGAACAGACATAGAACGGGTGTTCACTAACAGACATGGAACAGTTGTTATCTCACAGACATGGAACAGTTTTTCACTAACAGACATGGAACAGTTGTTCACTCACAGACATGGAACATTTGTTAACTAACAGACACAGAATAGTTTTTCACTAACAGACATAGATTGGGTGTTCACTAACAGACACAGAACAGTTGTTAACTCACAGACACAGAACAGTTGTTAACTAACAGACATGTAACAGTTGTTCACTAACAGACATGGAACAGTTGTTAACTCACAGACATGGAACAGTTGTTCACTAACAGACATTGGACAGTTGTTAACTAACAGACATGGGGCAATTATTAACTAACAGACATGGAACAGTTGTTCACTAACAGACATTGAACAGTTGTTAACTAACAGACATGGAACAGTTGTTCACTAACAGACATAGAATGGTTGTTCACTAACAAACATGGAACAGTTGTTAACTAACAGACACAAAACAGTTGTTAACTAATAGACACAGAACAGTTCCATGTTTGTTAGTTAACAACTGTTTTGTGTCTGTTATTTAACAAATGTTCCATGCCTGTTAGTTAACAACTACTCACAGACATGGAACAGTTGTTAACTAACAGACACAGAACAGTTGTTCACTAACAGACACAGAACAGTTGTTCACTCACAGACATGGAGTAGTTGTTAACTAACAGACATGGAACATTTGTTAACTAACAGACACAGAACAGTTGTTCACTAACAGACATATATTGGGTGTTCACTAACAGACACAGAACAGTTGTTAACTAACAGACATGGAATAACTGTTCACCAAGAGACATAGAACAGTTGTTCACTAACAGACATGGAACAGTTGTTAACTAACAGGCCTGGAACAGTTGTTCACTAACATATATGGAACAGTTGTCCACTAACAGACATGGGACAGTTGTAAACTAACATACATGGAACAGTTGTTCACTAACAGACATGGAACAGTTGTTCACTAACAGACATTGGACAGTTGGTCAGTAACCGGACTTGAAGACTGAAAAGGAACCATCCTCTATGTAAGAAACTTACTGTGAACACGAAGGACATCTCTGCATGGCAACCATGATTGAACAGTCTTGCATGGTTTTAGAAACAATGAACCTCTTGACCTGAAGAAAATTATAGAAACTCTATAACAGTGTCTAATTCCATACTTTATAAAACCATTTAAGTTCAATATATTCTTGCTACCATCAGTATGCATAAAAATGTGGAAACTTTCATTTGAAAGTGGCTAAAAAATCAAGACTATCATTATCTGCCATACACTTGACTTTGGACAAATTTCATTTGATCATACATTGTGATACCTACTGTGGTCTCAGAACATGATATAACTTGAACATCTACCAAAAACAATAAAATCAAACAATAATTAATCACCTACAGGTGCTCCTTAAATACAGTTGTATAAGACATTAATTAAGGATACATGCCACTTTATATACTTTTCAAGGATTCTCCCTAAACCAGTTTTTAATTGACATAATTCACAATTTCAGAATGACAGTGTTATTTATAACATTAACTTATACAGCATGTCACCAATTTACTGGCAAAGTTCAGATTATCATTCATAAGATATTCTTAAGTTTTCTTAGGGGTGTGAACTCTTTTGGACTGGAGATTCATGTCACATGACAGCAGCATACATGTATGTTCTTACTATTGTTTTCTTTTATAAAAAAACAAACATTTTGATGACCCTGTCTTTTTCCCTTGAACCTGGAAAGTTTGAGTAAAGCAAGTTATAATCGCGTTATTTCAAGTTGTTTCCTTTTGTATGTTTGTTTCCTGCTTACCTTGTAAACAGCATATTCTAGGCTGTCTGTGTCCGCTGTATCAAAACCTTGTATACAGGGATCCAACCAAAGCTCCTTGGTGAATGGGCCGTACACTCCAAATTTACACCTGTCACAAGTGAAAAACATGTAAAACTAGGGTTGCAATGATATATCCTGTGATGATAAATCGCAGTATTTTGATTACAGTATGATACACACTATTTTTTGGGAAATCACGATACACCTTTGATAAAAAAAAGTCGGATTTTGTCGTTTCTGAATTCAGTTTACTCATATCTATTCCCACATGGCGAGTGACAGCTCCAACTCGGCATGCACATCGAAGGAAGTGAAATGTGTGAAACTTTAAAGTCATGCCCATTTTGGAGCAAGTCTATTTTCTGTTGTAATATTTCCATTAAAAATGTGCAACATTTCTTTTCTTTTGGCTACTACTGTTACTAAATGTCTTGTGATACGTATTGTATCATGACCACAGTATTGTGATATGTATTGTATCATGACCACAGTATTGTGATATGTATTGTAACATGACCACAGTATTGTGATATGTATTGTACCTAAACCACAGTATTGTGATACATGTTGTATCGAGACCAAAGTATCGTGATACGTATTGTTTAAACTGGGGTAGAGGTGTCACGATTCACCGCGATGCACTTGCACCACGATTATTTATGTTCGATTCGATTCAGGATATATTTTTTCGGATTTTCGATACGTCACGATCTGAATATTAGTGTATGCCGCTTCAGCAAAAACGACTGTGAGACGTTCAATTTCATTGGCTGATCTCTAAACCCTCAGCCAATCAGCTGCGAGAATGCAATTTTCACAAAGCATTCATATCAAAATGGCGAACAGTGGTAAGGAAATGAAAATTAGTGTGGAAACGCTTCGGGTTTCCGTGTATCGACGGCTTATAACATATGTCATTTTTTAAATTATTTTAACATAAGGGTGTATCGAATCGAAATAATCAAATCGTGGTACAAATAACGAGATACGTATCGGATCGTGGGTAAAGTGTATCGTGACAGCTCTATACTGGGGTGTGTGTGTGTGTGATATTTTCACAATTTCACGGGTCAATATCGTTTTTGCGAAAAAATTATCTGCAAAACTAGAACACTGACAGGTCAGTAAGGGCCCCGTCTTGTGGCAATATATCCCCCATTATCATCAAGAATGACTCATTGTTTAGTTCCCACAAACATTGCTTCAAAGTGTCATAATGAAATATTCACCAGCAAAAAATAACTAAATTTTACCTTGACCTTTGACCAAGTCACCTTGACCTTAAGTCAGTTGACTCTTTGTTAAATTCCGACCAACTTTGCTTCATAAAGTCATAACAAAATGTCCATCGGGGAAAAGTTACAAAATTTGACCGTGACCTTTGACACAGTGACCTTGACCTTTGGTCAATTGACTCCATGTTTAATTCTGACCAACATTGCTGCATAATGCCATAATAAAATGTTCATCAGGGAAAAGTTACAAAATTTAACCTTGGGCTTTGAATCTAATGACCTTAACCTTTGACCTCAACTTTTTACCTCGGTGTGTCTCTTTGTTTAATTCCAAACAACTTTGCTTCATAATGTCATAAAATGCACATTAGTGAAAAGCTAGAAAATTTGACCTGGATCCTTGACCTGATGACCTTGACCTTTGGTCAGTTGACTCCTTGTTTAATTCTGAGCATCATTGCTCCAAAGTGTCATACCAAAATGTTCACCCTCGAAAAGCTAGAAAATTTAACCTTGACCTTTGACCAATTGACCTTGACATTTGGTCAGGTTGACTCCTTGTTTAATTCTGATCAACTTTGCTTTATCATGTCATAACAAAATGTTCATCAGTGAAAAGAAGCAAAATTTGACCTTGACATTTGAACCTAGTGACCCTGACCTATGACCTTGACTTTTTACCTCAATGTGTATTTTTGTGAACTGAACATCTTGACCAAGTTTCATGTACATTGGTCAATAAATACCAAAGTTATCAGCCAGGAACAAAATTTGTGGAAGGACAGACAGACAGACAGACAGAGTGATTACTAAAGGGCACCCGTATCTCCGATATGGGGCCCTAATAATGACAACCTTAATAATGAGCCTCGATGAGAAACTTCATAACAGTAAGGTTGTCATGAAATACACATATGGTCGTGACTAGAGTAATGATGTTTGATAATAGGTAATTTGTACAATGTACCATATCTTATAGTTTTGTTGGTGATTTGTCTAACAACAAACACTTACAGGTGTTGTTGCTCAATAGACTGTAATAACGCGTATTCATTGGACTGTTTGATACTCTATATGACCAGTGGTCCACCTTTGTGCTAAGCATTGCGAAATTGAGTTCCTTCAAATGCAATTATAATCTGTGTAAATTTAATTTTCTTTTTCTGGGTCAAAATCGTGAAAATTTAAGCCCATATTAACAACCTGTTATGCAGTGTACATGTATAACAAGCACCAGGTAAGTATGACTATACCTGTGTTGTACCTGTAATGAAGATATCTCACCTGTCCTCAGGGTGGGCTTTAAGGTGGTCCTTGACTCGTTGGTAGAGAGGGAATACCCCATCAATGTCAACCGCGTCGTCCAACTGCTGAGTACAGAGAATTCTTCCTAGTACAGACTCCGGGGCGGACAACATCACAGACGCTGGGGGAAACAGGAGTGGCAATAATGGAGCAGAATGGTACGGAGAAAATGATGTTATGTAAACTACTCCATGTCCGTAAATTTTCTTGAAAATTACACGACAGACTTCAAATTCTAATGCATGTTTTTACAATTCTACAGAAATTAGAGACAAATTTCAAAATCTTAATGTATGTCTCGACAATTTTAGAGAATTCTGAGATAAATTTCAGACACTACTAAAACTATAAATTTCTGTTACAACTTAAAAGTTTTCTGACACTACCAATTTACGTCTCTTCAAATGAATTCTGAAGCAAGATGAAGACACTGTTTGACAATTCCAGAGACCTTCGTAACAAATTAAAAACCCTATTGTAGGTCTCTCTCAGTTCTGAAAGAAGCATCCCTTGAATGGTTTGTTTTAGTCTAATGTTAACAAAACAATATCAAATTGTTTATAGACCCTCTACATCATCAGACTTATTTTCTTACGAGGATAAATATGGAAATGTTTTTCAGGGACTTACCAGCACCATCGTTTTGAGAGTTGTCTATATTTGGATAACTGCTCTTGGCACAAAAGTTTGAACATAACTTGGTTCTGTTCATGACCTTGACCTCACTACTGGCATGACCTTTACCCTCTGAACCTCCGTTACTGTGAGCACAGCTGTTAGGGGTGGCTTGGTTTGATTGGGTGTGGCAGATTTGGGAAGGTTTAGCCCCCTCGGGAGTGGACAAGAGTGCATCAACTATCAGATCTAGAAATGTGTGCAGCTCACTGAAAACAAATAACAGAATTTAGTACAGGTGCTACAGGGATGGTAAAGTTGTAAAATATCACAAAACAACCGGATGGAAAGTGTGTACCAAATTAACCTCATGGTGTCAAAATTCTTCATATAGTTTGCTGAAAAGTGAAATACAGAACTTACCACACCAAGTTTAGCATATAAATATATAAAATTTATTTATTTAACAACATCTTTTGAAACAAGTTATTTCAACTTATATCAATCACTCTTGTTGACAATGATGTTAGCGTGCAGGGGTATTAGTGTGGGAGGAAACTGGAGTACCCCAAGAAAACCCATGTGGTCGGGCAGGTGACCCCATAACTTTTTTACTTTTGATCGGGAATCAAAGCCTGGCCAACTTGGTGAAAGGAAGGTGCCCTATCCACTGTACCACCTGATCGCCCAAGATGAGCAGAATGCTCAAGATTAAAATGTAACCAAGTTAGTTGCTGGAAAGTATAGCTACAGTACATATACATTAACATATCATTATCATCGATACATGCACACAGCCTTCCGAATGTAGCTTGCATGAACAAGTTACCAGCTATATCAAAAGGCACTATCAAAAGAGAATGTCTAAATGGAAATGAAACAGTCAATCATAAGATGCATAACAGATCAAAGAAATGGGGTCATACAAAAACAATGTTATCCACATATAAAAGATTTGGGACAGAATTAACCTTTAACCTATAAAAGCTTCCCAAATAGTTTGTGTCATAGAGTAAACATGAGACTTTCATTTGCTGATAACAACTGACTTATAAAGACTGCAGCATATGGAGCCAGGATCTAGAAAACTGTACCAAGTGCTACTTTAGTACAACAAATATGAAGATATTAGTATGATTAGGTGTGTTACTTATAAATACAATCAGTTGTTCAAAACTGTCTCAATAAGTCAAGTTGTATCGAAAAGTGCAACCTGAAGAATACAAATGTGTGACTGTTGATACACAGAGATCTGACCCTCGGCTGTTGCTGCCAGTGATGCTGTTTCGTTGGTATACAGAGATCTGACCCTCGGCTGTTGCTGCCAGTGATGCTGTTTTATTTGTACAGAGATCTGACCCTTGGCTGTTGCTGCCAGTGATGCTGTTTTATTGGCACACAGAGATCTGACCCTCGGCTGTTGCTGTCAGTGGTGCTGTTTTATTGGTACAGAGATCTGACCCTTGGCTGTTGCTGCCAGTGATGCTGTTTTATTTGTACAGAGATCTGACCCTTGGCTGTTGCTGCCAGTGATGCTGTTTTATTTGTACAGAGATCTGACCCTCGGCTGTTGCTGTCAGTGATGCTGTTTTATTGGTACAGAGATCTGACCATTGGCTGTTACTGTCAGTGATGCTGTTTTATTGGTACAGAGATCTGACCCTCTGCTGTTGGTGCCAGTGATGCTGTTTTATTGGTACAGAGATCTGACCTTCGGCTGTTGGTGCCAGTGATACTGTTTTATTGGTACAGAGATTTGACCCTCGGCTGTTGGTGCCAGTGGTACTGTTTTATTGGTACAGAGATCTGACCCTCCGCTGTTGCTGTCAGTGATGCTGTTTTATTGGCACAGAGATCTGACCCTCGGCTGTTGCTGTCAGTGATTCTGTTTTATTGGTACAGAGATCTGACCCTCGGTTGTTGCTGCCAGTGATGCTGTTTTATTGGTACATAGATCTGACCCTCGGCTGTTGCTGCCAGTGATACTGTTTTATTGGTACAGAGATCTGCCCCTCGGCTGTTGGTGCCAGTGATGCTGTTTTATTTGTACAGAGATCTGACCCTCGGCTGTTGGTGCCAGGGATGCTGTTTTATTGGTACAGAGATCTGACCATTGGCTGTTACTGTCAGTGATGCTGTTTTATTGGTACAGAGATCTGACGCTCGGCTGTTGTTGCCAGAGATGCTGTTTTATTGGTCCAGAGATCTGACCATTGGCTGTTACTGTCAGTGATGCTGTTTTATTGGTACAGAGATATGACCCTCGGCTGTTGCTGCCAGTGATGCTGTTTCGTTGGTATACAGAGATCTGACCCTCGGCTGTTGGTGCCAGGGATGCTGTTTTATTGGTACAGAGATCTGACCATTGGCTGTTACTGTCAGTGATGCTGTTTTATTGGTACAGAGGTCTGACCCTCGGCTGTTGCTGCCAGTGATGCTGTTTTAGTACTTACTGTTGTTTCTGGAGTCCGTTTGTGAAGCCGTTGACTGAATCTCCAAAGAATTGGTGTGGTGCCAGTGATGCTGTTTTATTGGTACAGATATCTGACCCTCGGCTGTTTCTGACAGTGATACTGTTTTATTGGTACAGAGATCTGCCCCTCGGCTGTTGGTGCCAGTGATGCTGTTTGATTGGTACACAGAGATGTGACCCTCGGCTGTTGCTGTCAGTGATGCTGTTTTTTTGGTACAGAGATCTGACCCTCGGCTGTTGTTGCAAGTGATGCTGTTTTATTGGTACAGAGATCTGGCCCTCGGCTGTTGTTGCCAGTGATGCTGTTTTAGTACTTACTGTTGTTCCTGGAGTCCGTTTGTGAAGCCGTTGACTGAATCTCCAAAGAATTGGTGTGGTGCCAGTGATGCTGTTTTATTGGTACAGATATCTGACCCTCGGCTGTTTCTGACAGTGATACTGTTTTATTGGTACAGAGATCTGACCCTAGGCTGTTGGTGCCAGTGATGCTGTTTTATTGGCACAGAGATCTGACCCTCGGCTGTTGCTGTCAGTGATTCTGTTTTATTGGTACAGAGATCTGACCCTCGGTTGTTGCTGCCAGTGATGCTGTTTTATTGGTACATAGATCTGACCCTCGGCTGTTGCTGCCAGTGATACTGTTTTATTGGTACAGAGATTTGACCCTCGGCTGTTGGTGCCAGTGGTACTGTTTTATTGGTACAGAGATCTGACCCTAGGCTGTTGGTGCCAGTGATGCTGTTTTATTGGCACAGAGATCTGACCCTCGGCTGTTGGTGCCAGGGATGCTGTTTTATTGGTACAGAGATCTGACCTTCGGCTGTTGGTGCCAGTGATACTGTTTTATTGGTACAGAGATCTGACCCTAGGCTGTTGGTGCCAGTGATGCTGTTTTATTGGCACAGAGATCTGACCCTCGGCTGTTGGTGCCAGTGATGCTCTGTTATTGGTACAGAGATCTGACCCTCGGCTGTTTGTGCCAGTGATGCTGTTTTATTGGTACAGAGTTCTGACCCTCTGCTGTTGCTGTCAGTGATGCTGTTTTATTGGTACATAGATCTGACCCTCGGCTGTTGCTGCCAGTGATGATGTTTCGTTGGTATACAGAGATCTGACCCTCGGCTGTTGGTGCCAATGATGCTGTTTTATTGGTACAGAGATCTGACCCTCGGCTTTTGCTGTCAGTGATGCTGTTTTATTGGTACATAGATCTGACCCTCGGCTGTTGCTGCCAGTGATGATGTTTCGTTGGTATACAGAGATCTGACCCTCGGCTGTTGGTGCCAGGGATGCTGTTTTATTGGTACAGAGATCTGACCTTCGGCTGTTGGTGCCAGTGATACTGTTTTATTGGTACAGAGATTTGACCCTCGGCTGTTGGTGTCAGTGATACTGTTTTATTGGTACAGAGATCTGCCCCTCGGCTGTTGGTGCCAGTGATGCTGTTTGATTGGTACACAGAGATGTGACCCTCGGCTGTTGCTGCCAGTGATACTGTTTTATTGGTACAGAGATCTGACCCTCGGCTGTTGCTGCCAGTGATGCTGTTTTAGTACTTACTGTTGTTTCTGGAGTCCGTTTGTGAAGCCGTTGACTGAATCTCCAAAGAATTGGTGTAGAATACCAGTTAAATCTTCCTGTACTGTATCGCTGAACACTTCTCTCCCATCCTGCAATTAACAAGGTAATGTATTCAAACGCTGTGGACACAATTTGAAACCAAAAAATTGTGAGACAGCTGTAGTATACTGGGGGTACAGAATTATAAAAAAGTTCCAATCTGTCCTCTACAACACTGACTGGATAGTGAGACAACCAGATAAGTGATGGCTGGATCAACTCATTTACCCCTACTTTTTCAAACTGGTCTTTGATTTGGTAAGGTTCAAACGTGACTTTAGGGGTAAATGGGCATGGGTTAACAAGGCTTACCTGTACAGGTTTTCTCATTAATGTCACATATTTTAAAAACATTTTCAACTGAATGTTTAAGTAAGTGTATAGATGAGAAATTCATGTACTTTTTTGAATGCTACTGAACCATATTCAAACAACTATGTTTATATAAACGATATGTATTTCAATCATCCTGACCAGCTGTAATATCATATATATAACAATAGATCTTGAGTGACCTATCACCAGGGCCGCTTTGGTTTATGACGCTCCAAACTGTTAGACAGGTTGGACCACAGTCCTACATTTATGAAATAAGGTCGGACCCAGTAATCTGATGCTGCTTTCAGGCGAGTCTTGAAAAAGCCTTGAAGGCCTACATAAACATTTGCAGGTCCACCAGGATTTATACCCAAAAATGTTAGATTTAATAACGGACAAACCAGTTGTTCAGCATAAACGGGTCCTACAGCTAAAGACTCTCGGCCGTCTGAAGTCACGTGGTAAAAAGACCTGGCATGTGACACAGACAAATCAGGCGACACCAATACATTAGGCCCCAGATGATAAATGGAAGAAAGATAACTCTTGGGGTTTTAGTTTTCTCATATGCCAGAGCATCCACCTACAATTATTTTTCTTGTAGGAAAGTAGACAAAAGAATATACCTGATGGAAGGCAATTTTCAGAAGTTGCTAGTCCTTGTTTTAATTTATTTTTCATGAGCGGCTCTTTAATTATGTTTGCAATGAATAACTGATAAACATCCAAACTTACTGGACCCTTAGTTTGTTCTGTACCTACCTGAAATACTTTGAAGTTGTTTTGTGGTATACCGTACAGTGATAATAAAGCATGCATCATTCGCCGTCTGTCCCTGTAAAACATAAGAACCCAAGTCTTAAACAACCAGCAGCCAATCACTGTAGTGAACAGAGGACAAATATGGATAATGTCGCTATCAGTTCTGTTCTATTTTATCTCACAACATTTCCTCAATTTCTTCTACCCACTTAATCCAGTGTATCGGTTTACGTCGCTTTTCATTTCAAATGTATAAATTAAGTAAATTGTTATGTCTGACATCATTATAATGACAACATCATACTAATGAAAATGAAACAAACAAATTTGGACATTGGTTGTAGTATTGGTTGTAGCATTGCCCATGTTATCTCAAATTTCCACAAACAAGTAGGATATCAATGTGACCTTCAGGATTTACAAGATTGTAGACACATAAATACACATCATTTCATTCATCTGTAATCCAGTTCTGTATATGAGGACTGTAATTCTGAACAGAAGACAGCTTAATGTTTCATTGTTTAAAAGTGTTTCCACAGTTATTTTCTCTGACTGCTGAACATGGTTATCCTCACACTTACCCTGAGAACAGGTCGAGAGGACAGTAATTGGCTGCCCTCACACTAACCCTGAGAACAGGTCGAGAGGACAGTAATTGGCTGCCCACACACTTACCCTAAGAACAGGTCGAGAGGACAGTAATTGGCTGCCCACACACTTACCCTAAGAACAGGTCGAGAGGACAGTAATTGGCTGCCCTCACACTTCCCCTGAGAATAGGTCGAGAGGACAGTAATTGGCTGCCCTCACACTAACCCTGAGAACAGGTCGAGAGGACAGTAATTGGCTGCCCTCACACTTTCCCTGAGAACAGGTCGAGAGGACAGTAATTGGCTGCCCACACACTTACCCTAAGAACAGGTCGAGAGGACAGTAATTGGCTGCCCTGACACTTACCCCGAGAACAAGTCGAGAGGACAGTAATTGCTGCTGTTGTTCCACCGACCTTCCTTCTCCTGAAATTTATACGTTTTCTCATCAACAACTAGAGTAGATAATATACCCCGCCCGCCTACCAGCACATCACAGAAAATGTGTCTCCTATAGCTCTATTCTCTACCGAACATATATATGCATTATTTTTACAACATGTATTGGGGAGAGGACTATATCAAATTGAAATAACTTGTTGTCCAATTCCTTTGCTTTTTTGTACAATTAAATATGTTTAAACTAAATATATTACTGCAATTACCCTGTCTAAGTCAAAATTATAATCTATTATTATTCAAATTACCTTACCAGTATTTCCTGATATATATATGTTTTAGATTTCAACTCTCGGAGAACTTAGGTAAGCAGGTAAACATTTGTTTTTTTCCAACTGCTAATATAAAGATTTGCATAAAATGTTAGAAACCGTTGACAACCCTGCACATAACAATCAAATTTATTCTACCAAGATGTTTGAATATAAGATACATTTCCTGTTTGTTACTAGTATGCATACTATAACACATTATTTTAATATGTCTCAAAACTTGAGGTAGCAGAAAACAGGAGAGTCCTGGTAGGTCAGGAAGTTTTAAACATGTATGTGGAATATCTTATCCTGCAGCAAAGATTTTTTTCTCTCACTTTTTCCCCCAGGAAACTCTCACCTTTAACTTCTTATGCATGCAGAACTTGCAGACTTTGCCCTTGATTGAGTCTTCTTTAAACAGGCTTCCTGGGGCTGGCATGAAGCCTTTCTTTGGCTGCAATGAAGAAACAAAGGTTTCAAATATGTCAAAACACTGGTATATATTCTGTATATGATAAAACATTTATCACTTGTTTGTATACGGTAATACTATTTGGCGAGCGCAGCGAGCACTTTTTGTATTGTACGCATGGTATGTACATAATTCAAGCAAAAAGCTATATAAAGTAACACAAAACGAAACTGATCTTTTTCCTTTACATCGTGCAGAACGAACTTTAAAATTGGCGACGCTCTGATTGGTTATTTATAGATCAGAAGCTCAACAATCGCCGTTTTAAACATCTCTGTAGGGAAAGAAAATATGTTTCACATCGTAACTTATTTACGTGAACTTTGCAAACGTATTCGTTATGGTTTGAAGTATTTCTTCCTTAAAACGGGTTTAAAAATTTAAGTTTTTGACGAATCCAGTTTCGCAATAAATATATTTGCGGTTTGAAAATCCCGGGCTTCAAAATTTGCCACATTCTGATTGGTTGAAAAAGACCGCAGCAGAAAACTTCACCGGGAAGCCTGCGAAAGGATATATCCAATATCAAATAATCAACAAGAGTTTGGAATGAATTTCACCAGCTTTGACCTCATCACAGAGAAGTTTCACGTATGACTCAAAGGTCTACAAATTTTAATATGTGTTTGTCACTCTTTCAACAAGAAAACAACACTCGGCTTCACGAAAGCTAGGCCTGTGTAAGTCTCGTCACTTCAGTGTAAAGGAGAACTGGTCAGATGAAGAGTTTCTTTATTTATCAGCGACAATGCTGATGAGCTGCCTTAAATACATGTATGTACGAGCATTGTGCGGGTTAAAATTAAGTATGCTAGCCTACTTTATCAGTTCGTGTCTGTGTCACAACATGACTCCCCTGTCCACCTCCCCACCATGGGGCGATTTGCTTCAAGTCAGTCGGTTCAATCACAGGGGTTCGTTACAAATGTCTGAAATACACATAAGCTATACTGATATGGGTCACAGCACACATAATGACTTATTGTTGGTTACATGACCAACTTTGCTTCATTATGTCATAACAAAATGTTTACCAAAATCTGGCCTTTTGAGGGTCATGTAATGTGTTTTTGACAGTGTAGCCCCACTTTTCAATTTTAATTAAATACCAGCGACGTCGACTTAAACCTGATAAAATTGTGAAACTCCTGGTCCTTTGCTCATCTATATGTATCACTCTGTATCACTATGTGAAGTTTTAGAAATTTCAGCCTTTTGGAGTCCCGAGATAATCTCCGGAAACAAAAGTGCTGAAAGACAGACAGACAGATACTGTGATTACTATAGGGCACTATTAAAAGAAGGTTTGTAGAATTTCATATTGCCAATTGTTTGTCAAAAGTATAAAAAAGAAAAATATGGCTGTTTAGGGACAATGGATACAACACCAGACGAACAACAACCATACTAGATTACCTGATTTATCAAACTATGAGAATGAAATTCTAACAAATCATTTGCAAAAGATACCATTGTTTAATTGTCACTCAATGCTGAACCAGAATTACGTGGAGCAACATGTTGAGATATATTCACACCTGCCTAAGTTTGCAGAAAGTTGCAGAATTCATCATAATAAACTGTAATGTTTAAATGTGCTTAAAATATATCGCCAACACCAGTCACAGAAAAAAGGGTGTTTAAAAGCTTGATCTGGAAGTTTTCAATAATAAGGAATTAATTTTGGGTGTTGCCCAAAATTTTAAATTCAGTGAGGCGTAGAATAGTTTTCTGAGTTTGCGGTATTATTTCAGGTTATATTTTATAGCGTTGAGTATCTATATTTTATGATGTCGGAGCGGAGCGAGTGTTAACAAATTCTGTAAAAAAAAAATGGTAAAAATGTAGGTTTTTTAATTAAAATTTAAAAAACGTTGATGCTTGTGTCATGTGCATGTATAGTTTAGATGAGCATTTTGGCACTCAATATGATTTATTTTGTCATAAATTTGAGTTATGATTTTACTGTTTGTCTTTTATTGTGAATTTGTACGCATACATATGTACAAGGGCAACACTTATTAAATGAAAAGGATATACATGCTAGGCTTTTATGCTAACATTGGTTATTATTCACCTGATAAAGTGATCCTAAGGAGGGTGCTTCATTGTCTTTGATATTTTTGAAATATATGCTTTTTAATTTGTATAAAAAATCACTCCTTGTGATCATGTGTACATGAAACCACAGGTGAAAATACAGGTTTATCTATNGGTATAAAAAATCACTCCTTGTGATTATGTGTACATGAAACCACAGGTGAAAATACAGGTTTATCTATCATGAAATGGACTCTACCTTTGAAATAACACTTGACCTATATATGCCTAATTCCAACAGATGGTAAAGTCCTCTCTCCACTGACAGGGTGATCACCACATCGTGACATTAGAACAATACGATTAGGTAGACAGTCCGATGAGCCTTGACCACTGACCTGACTGGAGACCCTACTAAGTAAAGGATAAATCTTGAGTAAATCCAAATCACTTAACCAACGTTTGCGAGGGATTTATCCTACTTAAAAACTTTCATATCCCAATTGGACCCCTAAACCTGGTATAGGTGGACAGTTGGATAATCAGTGAATGGAGTTGTTTACCTGTGTTGTCCACACCTGTAAAATGCACTCACTGACACAAACACATATACCCCCAAGGCATTAGTAAATTCCTATGGTATCCAAATACGATCCAAATGGTATTGATATGATCATCATGAGCTGAGGTGTTCCGAGTACAAAGGTACCTGTCAGATATTTCCAAGGTCATTTCGTGTACTGCCGCCAAGATGTCCAGTTCAGATGACGATGTTTTTATTACGCAATCAACATTTACTAGTAAATGACCAGAATCTGATAGAGATACAGACGGAATGTTAAGCGACGTGCTTGATATGGAGCTCAACAAAGAGAGCGTACCGGATTTCAATATGAACCACACATTTATTACTGTAAGACAGGAAGAGTTTAGTGACATTTCCGACACGGAACTGGTTCGTTGCACAGATGCTATTGTCGACACTAGCATATCCAAATGATACAGCATTCCAGGTATTAAAGTTGGAATTAAAATAACAGTTACTATCTTTCATATTAATTTGTTATCGTTTTCTTTGTTTATCTGTTTTTGTGTCTACAAACCCTATTCAACAGATGGGCATTCTGGGTATGTTTGACATGACCCTGTGTGACCTGTTGGATAAGTAGTGATCCATTCATTAAATATCCAACCGCTAGCCGTTGGATAGTATGAATAGGTCACTACTTATCCAACAGTCACTCAACTTATCCAACGCCTAGCGGTTGAATAGGTGAAATAGTCAGTTTGTAACCACAATAGGTGACGTAATCGAAAGTTTTTAATATATATATAGACAATAGAGTTTGGGCAACACCCTTAAAGCTTAGGCATATATAGATATTCAAACTGCTGACAAAGGGAAGTCATAGAAAATCATAGTTCAAGGGATGGTTGATATAAGAAGGAAATCCCATATAAAATAAAAGAAAATCTTCAAACACCTTGGTCCAGTTTATTTTTGGAGACAGACAAAAAAAAGGGTGTTGCCCGGGAAATCTACACTATCATCACAACTGTTACTGAACTATGTACGCTTGCTTATAGGCAGTGCCTATTTCATATTACCACTTACAAGCAGTCGCATGATCCGTTGTTGCAGATGGTTCATGTCTAAGTAAATAAATCTTTTTAAAACCACAAAAGAAATTTTGGGAATGCAACATAATTTTAACTTCAGTAGTGTCTATACCAGGAGACTTTCACCCAGTCAAGTTTTGCATTACAATGGTAAAATTGACTTTCCCCTATTGTAATTTCACCATTTACATTTGATTACTGTAATTACCATGTTGCTTACTACTGTTCGCTGTGATGATAAACTCGCTCTGAATATGGAAGGTCAAAAAGGCAAAAATTAAACTGCAGTGAAAATTCCCCTGTATACAGTATCTAATAAATAGTTGATAACAGATTCTCACAAATTTTTTTCAGGGTTTTACATGACAATAACTTCCTCTTTGGAAACAGGATAAATTTGAGCTGTATTGGTTATTATAGACTTGTTCTGGAAAACAGTCACCATGGGTATACTCTGTATCCCATGGAAACGTAGCTATGATCAGTCGCACCTTAAATTGTGTCACATGCCAAAGTACCCCAGTAAACAAAGACACAATACATGCAACACATTTAACAGTTTCTTTCAAGCTGTTTTGAAAACAATTATACAATTTGCAGGGAATTTTCTAAATTTCTGTTATGTTGTAACCATCCTCGATATCCAGGTTAACGCTCACTTTCGCCTTCTGCACCCCTGGAATATGACATAGCAAAATTGAAGGCACAAGACTAGCTATTTGATTGGTGTCAGGAAAAAAAAACCTGACCAATCACTAGGCTGATATACTTGTCCTTTGAAGATTACAGAGGAGCGATGCCCAACTTCAAAGCCAGTCAATTTTACTGTTACCCGATGCAAGATTCTTTTGATGTACATCAAAGGATCAATCTAGTCTTCTCAGTTCTTGTCTCATTCTCAAGGTGGTGCACACTGAGCCTCCAATTTGGCTATGACATATTCCAGGGATGCAGAGAGCAAAAGTGAGTGTAACCCCTGGATATGGAGGATGTGTTGTAACCTACCTTGATCTCCACACTAATGGTGGGAGTGTAATACTGTTGAGGGTGGGCTGACATTGCTGAATCTCCTACAAAACACAGGTCTGGTAGAACTAGTGCTGAACAGGTGGCCGGATCTATCGTCTTGAAATCCTCATCATGGATTTTTCTATAAGCTACACAATTAAACAAAAAGTAAAATTAATGTTTCCCCAGAAATTGAATGATTGGCTTGTTGTCAGAATACAACTGTTTTCACAAAGTAAATATCATAACCAATAGCTTATTTACAACTCATCTTAGATTTTTCATTAAGAATAGGCAGCTACAGTCGGCCATAAAGACTGGTTCAGTTCCAATCTTGACCTGTTCAAATCACCTTTTTCTTATATGACTCGTATGTGTTTTTACAAAAGTTGGTCGGTAAAAGATGTAATTTGGTCTGTTCAAATAGAAATTACTGAAAAGCCTGCATCTTTTATCTAGTATAAGATTCTATTTCTCTTAATTCACTTGGTGTACTTCTCTCTGTGTGAACTTACCTGGCCTTAAATGCTCTATCTCTGTGAACTTACCTGGCCTTAAATGCTCCATCTCTGTGTGAACTTACCTGTCCTTAAATGCTCTATCAGTGTGAACTTACCTGGCCTTAAATGCTCTATCTCTGTGAACTTACCTGGCCTTAAATTCTCTATCTCTGTGAACTTACCTGACCTTAAATTCTCTATCTCTGTGAACTTACCTGGCATTAAATGCTCTTTCTCTTTGAACTTACCTGGCCTTAAATGTTCTATCTCTGTGTGAACTTACCTGGTCCTAAATGCTCTATCTCTGTGAACTTACCTGACCTTAAATTCTCTATCTCTGTGAACTTACCTGGCCTTAAATTCTCTATCTCTGTGAACTTACCTGGCCTTAAATGCTCTATCTCTGTGAACTTACCTGGCCTTAAATGCTCTATCTCTGACTCGACTTTTTCCACGAATCCTTTTGGTATCTGTGTCAGTCTCTAAAACATCAAACAGATTATATGTCAAATCAAATATCAATCAACAACCCTCTGTCCAAGCATTTAACTTAATGACAAAATGACAACTGAATGTCACCAACTGTCCTTAACCTTTATGTCTAGTTGTCTACTGAAACTGAACTTTAACATACTGGAACCAACAGACTGCCATGTTTTTACCATTATATGAAATGGAACTGTAAGCTACAGTACAAGGATACTAGCAAGAGGCCCAGTGGGCCTGTATCGCTCACCTGAATATTTACGCAGTCATAACAAAATATTCTCATTAAATATTATATTGCACTAAAAATATTTCTTTCGCAAACTTTGTTGGCTCTATCTGTTGAAACTACCTGCCAAATATTATTATAAGATTCTATGTTTTTTTATTCTTCTTCAGAAGTTGCTTGACATATCTTTCCCTGTGACCTCGTAAGTAGGTCAATGTCATTTTCCTTCGCAATTTGGTTAGCTCTAGTGCAAAAAGCTACCAGCCAAATCTTATGAATCCATTCCTTTTAGTTCTTAAGAACAAATCCTTTAAAATGTTGTTGACCTCTGTGACCTCTAAAGTAGGTTGAGGTCATTTTCATTTGCAAACTTTGGTGAGCTCTATCTTAGGAAGTCACCAGCCAAATATTATAAGTTTATGCCGTTTAACTCTTCAGAAGTCGTTTGAACCGTTTGACATATTTGAATGCTGTGACCTTGAAAGTAAGTCAAGGTCATTTTCATTCGCAATCTTTGTTTGTCTCTATCCCAGGAAGCCACCAGCCAAATATTAAGATTTTATACCTTTCAGTTCTTCAGAAGAAGTTGTTTTAAGCGTTAAACATATCTGACTCCTGTGACCTTGAAAGTAGGTCAAGGTCATTTTCATTTGCAAACTTTGTTGGGCTCTTTCCCAGGAAATAACCAGCCAAATATTAAGGTTCTATATCTTCCAGTTCTTCAGAAAAAGTCTTTTGAAGTGTTTGACATATCTGACTCATATGACCTTAAAAGTAGGTCAAGGTCATTTTCATTCTCAAACTTTGTTGGGCTCTTTCCCAGGAAGCCACCAGCCAAATATAAAGATTCCATACCTTTCAGTTCTTCAGAAGAAGTCGTTTTGAAGTGTTTGACACCCCTGTGACCTTGAAAGTAGGTCAAGGTCATTTTCGTTCTCAAACTTTGTAGGGCTCCACCAACAAAGCTTTCAGCCAAATATCATGACTCTATAGGCCTGTCCGTTCTTCAGAAGCAGTCGTTTAAAGGAAAAGTTGACGGACGACGGACACTGCACCCTGACATACGGTCACTTGCCCTTCGGGCAGGTGAGCTTATAAAACCATGCAACTACTCAAGTCTTTAAAGTATCAGCAAAGTTGGACCTAAAGAATTTAAGTTGTAACTGTTACAGCCAATCAAAAGCCCTGAAATGTGAACTTGTTCCAGGTATTTGTACAAGTACGACTACTTGTGTAAAGTTTTTTGTGATGAAATGAAAAAGTGAAGGGACAGAGTGATAATGCTGATGGTTGACAAAAGGACATTTCAACTCATTTGACCCCTGTGACCAAATTCATTTATTTGATCATATTTGATGGCTCTTAATCTCAGCAAGACATGTAATAATAATAATCATTTCTCTCGGCCAAATTCATGTTTTAAACATAGCTTAAAGTTTTCAATATATTTGACTCCTGTCACCTGTGGGTCAAAATCAGCCTTCATCTGAACGTTAACACACTTGTATGACTTACCGGTACATAAACAAAGTTGGAAGACAGTAGGGGTTGCATAACGTTGTGGATGTAGCTGACAACTCCCTGGAGATTTTGGTGGATGTGTTGTGACCGTTCCTGAAATACATGAAACAGGGGTTAAACTATCGTATATGTCAAGTATCCCAGAACTTTTTATGAAACCTGCAGGGCAGCAAAATATACCGTATTTATCCTGCAATAAGCCCATCCATGTCTATCACAGTTCAGTAAAAATGCCAACAAATGCTGTTGCATTGTCCTGTAATAAGCCCAGCCCCCTATTTTGTGTTAGAGATTAAGTGTTGGCCCCCCTGGGCTTATTGCAGGATAAATATGATAAAAACATCTACATAAATAAATTAATTTTGGGGATATATATAAGACTTTCTTTGATCTGTGAAACTCAAAATCAATTAATGAGTGTTTGTCAGTGTCAATTCCAGAATATTCCAGTAGCCAGAAAATATAACTATTTTTTTTGCACTTCTAACAATGGACAAATTTAGATGCACAACCTTGCTTACCTGACTGATTCTTGTCAATCTTTCTAAAATCATCCCAAAACATATTTTGTACAAAAAACATTGAAATCAGCATAAGTTATAACATTTACTTGATTTGGACAATAGGTCCAAGGGCCTTGAATCGCTCAAACCTGGCTATTTCAGAAACCAATTTGAAATTTCCCAAGTACATGTAGTTACTGAGGAGAGCCCCCAGAAATGTTTGCCACTTTAACTTAAGATCTCCATGAGCTAAGTACATGTAGTAATAGAGGAGAGCCCCCAGGAATGTTAGCCACTTTAACTTTAGATCTCCATGAGCTAAGTACATGTACTAACAGAGGAGAGCCCCCAGGAATGTTAGCCACTTTAACTTCAGATCTCCATGAACTAATTATATGTTTTCTCTTATCTGGGACAGGGGGAATCCCCTATCCATAACAATGGTATGACGTCACATCAACAATACAATGACGTCACGTTAACAATGCATCAACGACATGTCAACCCTGCATTTAGCCTTTGATGTTGTCAGTACATTATTAATATGATACACAATGGGTTAACAGGGTAAGAGAACAAGAACTCTTCACCCCATTGAGGTGAAATTGGGAATCTCAACCCTCAGGGAAAGACTCTTAAGTGGCATGCTCAGCAAAGTCTTGTGTTTGGCAACTTTAGAAGCTCCCCTCTCGGGCAGAGATTCCCCATCTCACCCCCAAGGGGGTAAGAGATTCAATCCCTTTTACCTTTAACCAGGGTTTGACACTAGTAGATCTAGATGACAGCAAGGACTAAATAACCACCTCACTACCATAAAGCATGATATTTCCGCGAGCATGATATTTTTGTGAATTTGCGGGTCAATATTGTGATTGCGAAAATATGATCTACAGAATAATAAGACAAGCATAAAATTGAGCCGTGATAATAAACTTCATCACCACAGTCTCCATGATATAGTGCACATGTGGTTGTGATGATTCATATACATGAAAAATAATGACATTTTTGAAAAAAGGTAATTTCACACATCTTATAGTTTGGTTGATGATTTATCTGCCATAAAGCCAGTATATCTATTCATTAGAAAATTTGACACTTTATATGCTGAGTGTCCCGTCACGCTGTGCTAAACCACAGAAATTTAGTTCTTTCACATGTCTAGATAGCGAAATTAAAATCCAATACATGTAAATTGAATTTTATTAATTTTGGGACAAAATCATGAAAATTTAAGCCTGCAAAAATAACCCACTATATATACCGTCATTGATTTTTGTAGAATATTTTCAGACAAGTCTTGCACATTTTTTTCAAAATTTTGATAATTCACATTACTAAGCAATGTAGTGAGACCTTTGAAAATTGATAAATTCCACAGAAAAATCACGAGGCCAGGATTCAAATATCTGAGTCCCAAAAATTCCTGTAGAGTGTGTAACCTAACTGGTCATTCAATATCATTTGATAAATAAATTATTAAATAGGAATGCTCCTTTTTGAAATCTGCTTAAAATACAGATGTATTGCATAATTGTCCAGATTTTCCTAAAAGTTCACCTGACCTTTATGGCAGTAGTAATGTATGTCCTCTACAGTTTATAATTATTTTTTTATGTTTCAAGCTAGAGATGTTTCTGTAGGGAAATATTAGTACTGTACGTAAGACTAGCAAATAATGTGTTCAACTTATACTGTAAACTATGTGTACCAGGAAAAATAGTTAGTCTTATGCCCCGGTCACACATTCACGGATCGCCTCGCCAGAATGGAAAGTTACGGATGACCCCGGAATAGTCTATAACCGTGGTCTGCTACAGATGCACCACGGTTTGACTATGGATATAGCCTGGGCTAGTTGACAACGGGGAGTGGTAGGGATTGCTACTGTTTGGTACAGTTTAGTACGGAATGACACGTGTCATGGCGTATGGACTGCGGTTTAACAACGGTTCGCTTCAATTTAAGTACAGGTTAGCACGAAATGAACAGTCTAGATGGCACATGGAGATCCATAAAACCCTTATTTTTACATTGTTACTTGCGACTGTGTCCTATGACCTAACTTTGTTTCCTTAGGCCTATATTTGGAAATACTGCATCAGGTTTCTATAGGTAATATATACAGCGTAGAGCATGAAAAGCAATCAGGTGTAATGGTGAAATGGAACATTCATTAATTATTCATCCTACATGACAAAGGCCTATCGGACATTACCGAGAACATCAGATTCTTTATTTCCTTATGTTTACAACACATCGGAGAGTAGACATACATATGTACAAGATATCACAATGTATAACACAAACATCAATGGAGTCATTCGGGTCACCATAACTGTAAAACAATTCTAGATCTGTCACTGTATTGATTACATATAGCTTCAAAAAATAATGTAAAGAACAAGATATTTTTCCTATTTTCAGTACAGAGTTAATGGTAATCAAATCCAGCCTCCATTACAACCAGATTGTTCCATTCTAATAAAAGTTCACTGGCAAAATCACTATTTTGACCATGAAATACTGAATCTATCTCCTAGTCCAACTTAAATTTTCATAGTAATTGTCTCTTTTAATGCATAACGGTATCCATCAGAGCCGATATGACTGTAACAGACTTAGCCTGTACTACATACCTACTGGTATAACAAAACAATTAACATACCTCCACAGTTTCACTTTGATTCTCAT